GACGCTGGTGTGCGCCAGCGAAGTGGGGAGCTGGTCGTACTCGCAGCGCCAGAGCCGGAGCCTGTGCGTGGCGGAGGGCGCGGGCAAGAGCGACCTGATGGTTTTCAGCCCCACCTCCCCGCCGCCGCCGCCCGGCCCCGCGGCGAAGGAGACGCAGCCGGAGCCGCCCGCTCTGCTGGACACGGTCAGTGGCCCTCCCTTCCTCGCCTCTCGCCCCTTGCCCTGACGCTTCTTCCGTGCCATAGTTGTTTATTTCACTTGCTCCTTTTCCTGGTCCACGGAATTCTTGGATCCATTCTGCAGCCGTGTTGTCATGTGTCACGATCTAATGCTCATAGCTGCACGTGATCCTTTACTCTTTTATTTCTGGGTGAGGTGTGATAGCGTAGGCTGCTGTTCTTTAGTACCTCGTATCTTTTTGTAGAGGAGACTGGGGACCGAGAGCATAAGTTGTGATTTAAAGGATTTGTGGAATACCCAGTCCAAACCCAACTTGAAAGTCGTACATGCTGAAGTCGGATGGGTTTTCTCGCTGTGCTGTCTGGTCTAGTTTTTCATGTCTTTGCGCCTCATCATTCTCTATGGTATTTCTGCTTTGAAGACCTCTGTCATAGTCCCTTTCAGGCTTTTGTTCTTTAACATGAGGAAACGTTCCTCAAACTGAAGCCACTCTAAATCTTTGGTTATCTTGCTGCTCTTCTCGGAACCTTTTATTGGTCTTCTCTCTTCTTACCATGTTAAGAAGGGGAGGACTTCCATCAAATATTCAGAGTGTTGGTGAACCTTATGTTTCCGCAAAGCCTAATGAAACGCGTTGTTTTCTTCTGTGGTGTCATAAGTCTTAGCTTTTGGATTGGCACTGAGACCGAGCTGATACATCCACATCAGTGTCTTCTCTGTGCCAAAGATGTTAATTCACAACCTGAAGTGGTTGTTTCAGAATCAGATACAGTCTCTGTTGAAGCCACGTTTATTGCCTCATTTGCTCAGCTTTGTGGTGTCCTGCATGTAAAATATCGTGCCGTTTTCCCACCAAGGTCTTAAGGGTCGTCAGCTCCTTCTGCAGTTGTTCTCGGCAGACCTGTATTTAACTCTGCTCCGTTGGGTAATATCTCCTGTGACCTTGGTTGCATCACTCTCCCTGACTTTTTGAGATCCCTTGATGAGCTGTTAAATGCAAAGATCTGTGCCCGACTGTAGCGTTGACCTTGTTATCTTGCTCAAGTGACCAGGTCTGGTTTGCGTCCCTTCTGCGTAGGTAATCACAACTCCAAGTGCCTCTTTCAGCCTTCGTTCATTTTGTTCGGAGTGTCCTAATTTGTGTTCGTTTTCCTGTCTTGCAGGTAGGGCAATTTTTGTGAACTTTTTGCTTTTGGCTGCTGCGAAGTGCAGGTTTCTAGTCTTTTCTTAATGAGAAGTCTGCCCTCCCTTTTGATTCTCTTCTGAAACAGAGATCATGCAAGGTGACCACAGCTGGTACTCCAGGTTCTTCCCTGTTCACCTTGCGTGGCATGTATTAGTTTGTGGAGCACTACAGAATTATGGTGGACATGGCAAAGACAGTAGAAGTATTTGACGTTGCCCCTTTCCAAGTATGATGTAAATGTACTTTCTAATACAAAGTACTTCACAGGAGAAGAGCACGGGCTAAGGTAGGTGTGAAACCTGTGCAGCGATAGTGCTATATTAAGCAAGGTGCATTGCTAGAAGTCTGACTTGGTTTTGGTGGGCAAATATATTTGTAGAAGCACCCCAGCGATGGTGCCCGCTCTGCTAGTTTCAGGTACCCTGTGGTGGTAGGCTTTGTATTTCCTCTCTTTTCTTCCCCTGCCCCTTCCCGAGAATACTTTTTAAAATAAACTGTTATTTTGTGTCACAGGGTGTGTGCACCTTATGATGGTGATGTGAATATGAGCTGGGATGACACCTGAACCTCCTGAGTCCCCAGTAGGCAGCATGGCTTAGCTTGCCTTTCCCAGGAGATGTGTTGGTAACTGTGAGCAAGAGCCACACTGCCAAATGGTGTTGACTGATTTCAGAATTTGTGCTCCTTGCCATCACTGTGGTTCACTGTCTTGTAGTCTCTTCAGGTGATGTTTACCTTGAGCGAGTGCTGTGAGACTTCAGGTTTCAGTTCTGTTTCCGCCTCCTTAAAGTGGATACAGAAACACTGGGCACTCCAGCAGAGATTTGAGAGCCTGGGCAAACCTGTTTGCTTTTCCAGCCCTGCTTCCCTGAAATCATGAACAGTGATCTCTGAACTCGGCCCTGACAATGGAGGCCTCAAAATCAATCAAGGCAACTGCTAGGATGGCCACAGGTGGAATTACAGGTGACCTGTTACAGACCTGCCTGGATTTTTTTAGCATTTGGTATCTTCATTTTGTGTTGACCTCCTGTTGCATCACTGACGCTTCTGTGGTAGAACCAGCCGATCGCTATTGTGTGAAATCATCTGTTGCATGTTGCTGCCTGGCCTGGGCAGCGGGGTAGCAGCAAACATCCATAGTTGTGTAGAAAAGAGGCCCTGCTGTGTTTATGTCAGTGGATGAGGTGGGAGCCTGGGGACCATGTTGTAAGATGAACTGTACCTTGCCAGAGCGGTGGTGTGAGCCTTTTGTGTTATCTTCGGTTACGGGGTGTGTGGATGACTGCGGTATCCTGCGGTGGCTCATCTCCATCAGTAACGGGCACATTGATTTACAGTACCGTGCATGCCTACCTGCCTGAAAAGGTAAGGAAGAACTCCTCATCCCTTGCGCAGCTGCAAGTGGGGAATAAAACCTACAGGAAATGCTTTACTGAGACACATCAAGACTAGTAGAGAGCTCAGCTTCCCTGAGCTACTTCACCCATCCGAGAGGATTTGTGCTGTGTGGGTTATGTTTAGGCTGACGTAGAGTTAGGACGTGACTGATGAAGGTGAAAGTCCTTGGAATTTGTGTGCATTGCTGGTTTCTTAGGTTTGGACCTACCCTTCAAAAGGCAAACCCATTCTGTTACAGACAGACACAGTTATTATTTGGAATGTGATATCCTCACTCTGTTATTTACTGTATGAAAACCAAGGAAAGTGCATGGGATTGCTCAGCTACATCACTGTCACAAAGCCATGAAAAAGAAAACAATCGCTGCTACCTTTCAGCATTGCTGCACTAGACACAAATAAATTCCATGTGAATCTCTTTCTTCCGGAGACCTGAGTACTTTCCATAGATGGAAGATCAAGGATACAGTCTTCTGTAGAGGGAACAGCTGAACTCTCTTGCAAAGAAAGAAAGAAATGAGGAACAGAGTTACGCTGCCTCAACAATGTATAGGGAAGGCAAAGTCAGGAGATCAGAAGTGGGGTAGGTTCTTTTCAGTGAAGACCTTCCCAGATGTAATTCGTGGGTTAATGTGGGCATTTAGGAAACATTTTGACAAGTACATATCAATCAAAGTGTTTTTAGGGAGGAGAGAAGAGAGGAGAGGAGAAAGGAGAGGAGAAAGGAGAGGAGAAAGGAGAGGAGAAAGGAGAGGAGAGGAGAAAGGAGAGGAGAGGAGAAAGGAGAGGAGAGGAGAAAGGAGAGGAGAGGAGGAGAAAAGAGGAGAGGAGGAGGAGAGGAGAGGAGAAAGGAGAGGAGAGGAGAAAGGAGAGGAGAGGAGAAAGGAGAGGAGAGGAGAAAGGAGAGGAGAGGAGAAAGGAGAGGAGAGGAGAAAGGAGAGGAGAGGAGAAAGGAGAGGAGAGGAGAGGAGAAAGGAGAGGAGAGGAGAAAGGAGAGGAGAGGAGAAAGAGGAGAGGAGAGAGGAGAGGAGAAAGGAGAGGAGGAGAAAAGAGGAGAGAGGAGAGGAGAAAGGAGAGGAGGAGAAAAGAGGAGAGGAGGAGAAAAGAGAAGAGGAGGAGAAAAGGAGGAGAAAAGAGGAGGAGAAGAGGAGGAGGAGAAAAGAGAAGAGGAGGAGAAGAGGAAGATGAGAGGAGAAAAGAGGAGAGGAGAAAAGAGGAGAGGAGAAAAGAGGAGAGGAGAAAAGAGAAGAGGAGAAAAGAGAAGAGGAGAAAGGAGAAGAGGAGAAAGGAGAAGAGGAGAAAGGAGAAGAGGAGAAAAGAGAAGAGGAAGAGAAGAGGAAGAGAAGAGGAAGAGAAGAGGAAGAGAAGAGGAAGAGAGAAACATCTATGATCGGTTTGAAGAAGGGTAACGTTCTGAAGGGAAAGCACGGAACTCGTCGGCAGAGCGGCGGAGCCCGTCCTTCTGGAGCCGAGCGCCGCTGCCGGACACGGGAGGGCGGCAGGAGGCGGCTGCTGGCAGAAGGAGCCGCGGTCGGACACCAGGTGCCGCTGTTGGCC